TAAAAAATGTTAAGTGGATTGAGGGTAAACGTTGAGGTTTGGGTGCCATGATTATAATTTAGATATAAATTAACTTGTGACAAACATAAAAATAAAAAAAAATTTCACGATTTTCCTTAAATTTTAACCTGGAGTTGTTAGAAATATAAAATATGCACTTAGTTAATCAATTCAATTGGATGAAACCAAATCAGTTAAGTTCAATTGGCTTTAAAAGACATATAAATAAATTCACATCTTTCATATAAAAAAAACATAAAACAAATAGTTTGATTTCTCGGACATTTACTTAAAAATGATAATGGATAGTTTCGCCATGTCATTTTTGTCTTCCCCTGTTTATATGACATGGCTCTTGTTGAAGCAATAACCAGGACTATGGTATGACAAATTTGTTTGGGTTGATACAACTGTTTCTCAGATGCATTAATATTTGATTTAATATTAAGTATTTGTATTTTATTAATTAAATTAATTTATTTAAAAATGTTTATTAGAAAAAAGAAAAAAAATGGAAAAAGATGCTTTGAACGGCATAGAGATGCCCATTCCCAACCGTCTTTTTGTCTTCACTCTTCATTGAAGGACTAAAGCACATCGAAATTTTTATTGGAGTATATTATTTTATCAAACAGAGAAATTGATTCCCACAACTGGCCGACATAAACAAACCGTCGCTTGTGTTGTTTTATTCACAGCGTGCGGTGATGCAAGGACAAGGGCTACTGTTCAAAGACCTTTTGCTTTTTATATGGGAAAGTCATCATGACACTGACCAAATGTTTAGCCAAAAGTATAACAGCATTATAAATCATCATGACACTTACCGCGTTATCTTATTAGATAAGCTAAAAAATGAATACTGGAATTCAAAAGCGAAAAATAGAGAAAAAAAAAGAACGTTGAGAGCCAGAATTAAAAAATGAATACGTGAGTGCGTGTAGTCTCCATTCCTCTAATTGCTTTAGTCCAAGCATGCGGATTGAATTATGGCTGAGAAGATGAATCATCTCCATACTTCTGTGATAATACAGAATTATACATTTTTTACATAAAAATTAAATAAGATTAGTATTCAATTATATTGACAACTTTGAAGTAAAAATTAATCAAATTTGTGCATACACTCGCAGATTTAGACTTGTTATGTATAAAATTACCGTGACTTGCTAAACGCTTATGGGTGTGATTGAACACTTTCAAAAAGCTAACATCTCTTTTCATCTCAATTACCTGCATTTATTAACAACTATACATAGTCAATCATAATCCATATATATAAATTACATGTAAGGAAAAGCTAAAGTCAAA